CTCTGGTCCTTCCTTTGGAAGACAGTTTTGCCATGTAACGAGTCCAGCAGATCATCCATCAGCTTTGATTTTAATAAAACATGAATAGCACGGTTTATGGCTTCCACTGTTCAAACAGCAGTTGAGGCTAAGAGGAATTACTCATTTTAATGGTTCTGCACTCATTTCCAGGCTGCCATGCTGCTTTGTCAAGCTTTTCCTAAATTAGAGCCTGGCTATAGCGCAAAGGGTTCAGGTGGCACTGAATAGAGGCTCCTCGGGACAGTGAGCATCTGGTGCACAGCCCTGTCAGCTGCCTTTCTTGTCACTGCAAACAGCTCCTCTGTAACCTCTAGGACAAGATCTCCTGGGCGGCAGGGTAGGGCAGGTATCTGTGAGAAACACTGATTTGTCAAGACAGAAATATGTCTCATTTTCTTTCAAAGACACCTGGGTCATAAGAACACAATCATTCCCTTTTCACCCTGGCAGCCTGCAGATTAAAAGGACAGACTATAACAAGCCTAACTGGCACACAGTTGTTACTGTTATTAGTCCCATTTCACAGATGGAAAAATCAAGGCCGAGAAGCAGTGCCAACTCCTTCCTACATTTTGCCATCCCTCAGTCTATCTGTAGCATCAATGTTGTCCCAGGTACATGGAATTAGGGCCCTCCTGGAGGCAGTGTCAAGACCACAAGGAAGGTATGGGCACTCCAGGGAATGAGGGAACAAGCACCCAGTAGGGGCTATGAGGTGATGACCTACAGGTGGGACAAGACTTCAAAGCCTTTAAAAGCTTGAGCACCTGGCTGTGTCTCACCACCCTCCTGCACTTCAGTCTTGAATGAACTCATGGTTCTGCAAGCGGGCCTGGACTTTGAGATCAATGTTACATTTAACCTGCCAAGGCTCGGGGACTCACCTTCCTGTGACAAAATACAGTCTAGCTTGCAGAGCTACCAGTACAGAGCTGTGGTGACATCAGTTGGAAACCAGAAGCACCCGGAAGGTTGTGGGGGAGGTTACTTTTCAAGTTGTTGATGGCATTCAGGAGAAGCTAATTTGTTGTTACTGTTCCACTGCAGCAACCGTCCTTACAGAGAGAAGACAGATTTCAGCAAAAGAATTTAATTAAATATTGCCCGATGCCAGATTCCCACTCAGAAGCAGCGGTGGGTTCCATTAAAGGACGAACTTTACTCCCACAGCTGACAGCTGATTAATGTGTTAATTAGAAGCCCTGCCCCACCCCCAGTGGCCCAAAGCTTCTCTTAAGCCCAGAAGAATGTATATATTGTGCCATGTGGGTAACCTAATGGCTTATATATGGTGGCTCTGACCTTGGACATTTATGTGAAAAAGAAGGTTCGGTTGCCAACGTGAATAGCTTGCTTTCTTTCCATAGCTCTGAAGGGGTGCTGGTATCAGGAGCATAGGGAGGCTCTGCTGAGGCAGTGTCTTTGGAGCAGGGAGTGGTGTAGGTTACCACACATTTATTTCACAGGAAAGGAGGGAAGCCATCGGACCCCTGAGCTTGTAAGTGCTGCCCTGGCAGGCTGCCAGCAACGCCGACCATAGGAAATGTTCATTCTCTTGTGTAGAATTGGACCCATCTCAAGAACAGGAACTTGATCTTCTGGAGGACTCTGTGCTAGGCTCAAAGGGAACACACGTGTGCTTATCTCCTTTGTGATCTTTTTGTCTTCCTGGTGACCTGGAATGGATCTGTGAAGCATGCCAGCAGTCCTGCCCCATTGCTTGCATTTGCTCATTGATTGTGCGCTCCTATTATTGGCTGGTGTAGTAAGACAACAGCAGCTGAGACCACTCTGGGACCTGTCAGGGAGAGAGGTGGAACAAGAGAGGCCAGGTTCCAGCAGAAGCAAAGCTGGATGGAACCATGCAAATCACTACAGAGCTCTGGGAGTTGGGCTTATCATAAAATATCTGAAGGAATTTTGGTTCCTCTTGACATTGTGTGTGACAGGGATAAAAAGTCTCAAAAAATAAAATAATAATATGACAGAATTTAAGTCTGTCCACAAAGAAGGGGGGAATACACCCAACACCACACCCAACACCACTACAAAGCCATAGCTTATGAGATACTCACTGTGTGCTTTGCATATGCAAATGTTATTTATTAAGAAGAGATATTTTCATGTAACCACCATAGTTTAAATAATCAGCCAGGGCTCCCATGATGAAACCTTTGATTACAGAACTGTCACTAGCTGGATGTGGGATGAATAACGGTAGCCATTTGCACCATAAATCCATTGACCTCATCTTAAACGATGTGTCCTGTAAAGCAGACCTGATTCATTACTTCTTAAGTGACAGTTTCCCCCTCCTAATAATCATTTGCTTCATCAGAAAGATTGCTTTTCCATATTTTTTAGGCCTGTGTTCTGAACTGAAATGTAAGGCCTCATTATAGTCAGGCTTACAGCACCCCAAAATAACACAGTTGGGGTACACCACAATGGAGGCTCTTTCAAGAGAGTCAGAAAACAAGTGCTAGCACTAGACCTTTTGGGTGGTGGTGGTGGTGGTGCACATCTTTAATCCCAGCACTCGGGAAGCAGAGGCAGGAGGATCTCTGTGAGTTCGTGGGCAGCCTGGTCTACAAAGTGAGTTCCAGGACAGCCAGGTCTACACAAAGAAAACAAAAAATCCAAAAACAAAAGAAAGAAAGAAAGAAAGAAAGAAAGAAAGAAAGAAAGAAAGAAAGAAAGAAAGGGGGAAGGAGGGAGGGAGGGAGGAAGGGAGGGAGGGAGGAAGACATTAGGCCTTTAATTTGAAAAATTGGAGTTTTGCTTCTGATGTCTGTGATTACTTTTTTGTGGGAAGGGTGAAATGTGGTAGAGAATTCTCATTGAATAATTAGGATGGTCTATGAGCATCATTTATCAATGATTATTAAAAGTGAAGTGTGTGAAGGGAGAACTGTTAAGTTATATTTAGATTATTATGGTTTTTTTTCACCCCACTTGAAAATATTTATCTAGTTTGAGGAAACACAAATCCTCTGGAGGCAAAAAAAAAAAAAATCAATCTGGCAGTTTCAAAACCAATTAATGATTTCATAAAACTCTTCCCCATTATTGTTAAAGAGCAAGATCCTAAGGACAAATGCCAGGAGGACCTTAAAACACCATTAGTAAAGGAAAGGAGATGTGAGCATTGACATTATGTTGTAACCACTTTAATGGCGGTGGCAACGGTTTTGATAGCTATGTTGAAGGAATTCCCTTACCACCAAAGCCCACTCAGGAGTGTTCTAGTCTCGGATTTTTGGAAGAAGTATTTTGAAACGACAAACAAAAATGAATGTGTGCCAAAGCATGCATTCTATTCAATCTCACACTGTCAAGTTTATCAACCAACAACATCACTGGAAAGAAAAATACCAAACCCCGAGAAGGGAAAGAGCGGCTTCACACACTCAGAGCCACATCTGCATCCGCAGCCACGAGCTAGCATGTCACCACTGTTTACAAGCAAAGGAAGCTGAGACTTAAGTGAGATTTGTAATCAAGTGCCCAGCATATGTTGTTTGTGCATTGTTTATGTGACCAATCATTATTAAAATTTATCATCTTTTAATTATATCAGTTCATGATCATTAGAAACACATACACACATGTGTGCACAGCAATAGAACAAACACACTTCAAAACTGAGGACCCATTTAGAACAATACTGGAACCATTGCTCCATTACAGGAAGACGAGTTCCATAAACTCACAATGGTGCTGAATTTTGCAGTTCCTTCTCTGATGCTTTGTGGTTTGAATGCTATGGAAACGGTAAAGAAAGAAAGATGAAAGAGAAAAAAGATTGTGTGTATAAAATTCTGTCAAGAAAAGTGAGGCACAAGAGGAACTATTGAAAGTTTTGACATCTGTTTATCTGTTTATAGCGATGGCAAGATCACTCATATTAATTCTTGTTTAAAATGCCATATGAAGGGAAGGCATTTGTGCAAACAAGAGTCATATTTGAATTGGAGATCATGTCTTCACCATCTGTGAGAGCTGATGGTGTTGCAAAATTAATGTGTTAATGAAATCACAATAATTTCTCCAAAGTAACGGTCTCTGAAGCCGAGAGTGACTATTTTTTGAACTTTGGTGTCTAGTGATTTCCAATTGGGAAAGGCTCTGAGTCTTTAATTAGCTCGGCAGCCCAGCTTTGAAATAAATTTGGTGATATCTTTCTTTTGCCAGGAGTAGATCTGAAGGGGGTGGGGTGGAAGCCATAACAACTTTTGGGAAATGTTCTCTGGTGTTTGAAAAGTTGTTAAATACAACTGCCTGCCAAGAAATGTCACCAAAAATTCTGACTGCTGAGAAAGAGTGGGCAAACAGCTCAAAAAATAATTCTAGCTTGCTGCAACATCACAGGTTGGGAGAGCTAAACCTCACACAGACTTCGTGGCTAAGTCCAAGTTGCTCCTTGGAAGCCATTCAGAAGGCTGCTCAGTGCTTTATGCTATTGGTTAACACAGCACACCCTTCCCAAGCACGTTACCGGATGCAGTGGATAGCACAGAGCGACTGGGTAGATAAGGGGAATTTTAAGAGGTTATGTTGCATGGCCATTGAACTCTCTGGGGATTCATTTCTTCCACCGTTGTTTAGACGTGTGTTTGCAGCAAGCCTGTTAAGTAAGTGAAACCATGAAGGCATGTATACTGAGTAAGTGTACTGGGCAAGTGTACTGGAAAGGTGCACTCCATTTTGTCAGAGCCATCTTCAAGTCATTTTTACACTGTTAATACTGTTTTTTGAAAGAAAAAAAGGGAGATTGTGGTTGTTGCCATTTTGAAGAGCCTATATATAAGGCAAATTCATCATTGCACGAACATTTCAGAAATTTACCTTTAAATAGGAAACCCTTCAATTATTTGTCAAATTATGATAAAGTTTGAAGAGCCTTTATGTGAAACATGAATGCCATCTGCCCGAGAAAGCTTATCTTACCTGTTGTGGTTTTTATTGCTGTGTTGTAGGTGTGTGACTGGTGTAAACACATAAGGCATACAAAAGAATACCTGGATTTTGGGGACGGGGAAAGAAGGCTTCAGTTCTGCAGTGCAAAATGTCTCAATCAATACAAAATGGACATTTTCTACAAAGAGACACAGGCCAGTCTTCCAGCTGGGCTGTGCAGCACATTACACTCTCACATGGAAAGTAAAGCAGAAGGCACCGGGGTGCAGCTGCTCACTCCAGACTCTTGGAATATCCCGCTAACAGATGCTCGGAGGAAGGCCCCCTCCCCGGTGGCTGCAGCTGGCCAAAGCCAAGGCCCAGGCCCATCCTCGTCCACCACCGTCTCTCCATCTGACACTGCCAACTGCTCTGTCACTAAAATCCCCACGCCAGTGCCCAAGTCCCTCCCCATCAGCGAGACTCCAAGCATCCCTCCTGTCTCAGTCCAGCCACCTGCTAGCATCGGACCTCCGCTGGGCGTCCCGCCTCGCAGCCCTCCCATGGTGATGACCAACCGCGGCCCAGTGCCGCTGCCCATCTTCATGGAGCAGCAGATCATACAGCAGATCCGGCCGCCCTTCATCCGCGGGCCTCCGCACCATGCCTCCAACCCCAACAGCCCCCTGTCCAATCCCATGCTGCCGGGCATTGGGCCTCCGCCCGGTGGCCCCAGGAACCTGGGCCCCACTTCCAGCCCCATGCACCGGCCCATGCTATCGCCCCACATCCACCCCCCAAGTACCCCTACCATATCTGGAAACCCCCCGGGGCTGCTGCCCCCACCGCCCCC